GCGTTTAGGGTTTGTTTTCTTTAAAATAAATATAATTTTCACTGCCTAATGGGCTATATGCACAGCTAATGTTTTTTATCCAATGATGAACTTCCAGTAAAAGCTTATGTGACATTTCAATTTCATAAGGTTCCTTTTACAGCATCGATGTTGTAATGTAATTCAAATATAATCAGTTCAATACTTCAGCATTCATTTGGTTGTTAAAGAATAAAAAAGATGAAAAACTGTGAGAGGGGTCTGGCTGCAGACTCGGTGCAGTGCAATCTGAGCTGCATCCAATTCTTTTTAATGCACTCACCTAACCCCACCCCTAACCCTACCCTGACGTCACTCACTCTATTGAGTGCATTGAGTCTGACATTGCATCGCTGAGTGATGCAGTCTTAGCTTGCATCATAAAGGCTGCATCCAGATACTATTGAAAACTGTTTAAATGCAGGCACCGTCATTAGCTGCAGGCTAGAGCAAAAACTCCATTGAAAATACTGTGATAAAATAAAATTCCCCAAACAGATACAAGTATACTCTTTAACTTTGGTCTCAATCAAAGTTGGTATGTTTTGGAAGGACATAGACCTTGACTTTTTGGTAAATAACTTAATTATTTTAGCTAAATACATTCATTCGTAGATGCAAATTTGTTAAGGTGAAACCTGGCTTTAATGGATGGAGAAATGACCTGAAGATGTTCGTAAAGTCTCTTCACTTCATGAGGAACAGAAATGCCCGAAGGCTTTCATATGCCTTGGACTCGTTTTTATTACCTGATTTTGAACCTTACGCCCTCCCTTTTTAAAAAATATTAGTCATGTACTTTTATATCAACACTAACACCATATGTATTGGATTGTTAAAAATGCCGTAATGGTTTGTACTTGAACCTATGGTTAAAAAAAAATAAATAAATAAAAATTCATGTTTCAAAGACATGGCATGGAGAAATATAGTTTAATGCAGTGCTTCTTGTTTGGTTCTATACCCACTTTATATCGTACCTCATCCAGGCAGTGAAGATCACTGTTTTTTAAAGAAATCAGATCTTAAGCACAGCAATTTTGTACATGGGACGGCAATTAACCAGAAGCCCTTGGAGCTGGCTAACTGAAATAAAAAGTCTAAAGCATAAAAAGCATATACCCTATTGATATACGATATAGCGTGGGTCTCAGAATGTACAAGTAGTACAATAGCTGTGTAAAAACAATAGCTGTGTATATTTCTGAATTGTGGAATAAAAAAAATCTAAATTGTGACATTCAATTTCAGGAAAATGTCATAATTGTGAGACAAGCAAAAAAAAAACTATTTTGCATTTTAAATTAAATTAATCCTCATATGTACACATTACAGAATACATAAAGGAACATATTTTTTTCGGTCTTATTTGTAGATTAATAAAAAGCTCATAAAAAGTAATTCATTAATTAATTTTCTTTTCAGCTAAGTCGTTTTATTCATTAGGGGTTGTCACAACGGAATGAACTGCCAACTTATCCAGCATCTGTTTTACACAGCGGATGCCTGTCCAGCTGCAACTCAGTACTGGGAAACAACCATACACACTCATTCACACACATACACTACGGCCAATTTAGTTGATTTAGTTCACCTGTACCGCGTGTCATTGAACTGTGGGGGAAACCGGAGCACCCTGAAAAAACCCACATCAACATGGGGTAAACATGCAAACTCCACACAGAAATGTCAACTGACCCAGCTGGGACTCGAACCAGCAACCTTCTTGCTGTGGGGTGACAGTGCTAACCACTGAGCAACCGTGTTGCCTAAAAATGTATTATAGTTAGCTTTTTTGTAAGATTGTTTTTAATAGCTATTTCATGATATGTTATTTTGTAATCAAATCAAAACCATGAAAATGAAAATGACATTTTTATTTATATGAATTAATGGGGGGTTTGGTTTATTATAAACTATCATACTTTTCCTCTTTTTTTTTAATCCATGCACCCTTGTAATGCTAATTGTAATCTTGTGTCTAGTATCAACAACAACCTGTCACAGCAGCAACTACCAAACAATGAATTAATTCATAATGATGGACAAAGGCAAAGTCTAGTCCCAGTAATGCATTTTTGCTTGGGCCTATTCATTATCACAATACAGAAGCAAATATGATTTCAACCACCATTATATGTCCTCTTTAATATAAAAAGATGTGTTTCTGAATCATACACAGCCTCCGGTTGCCATGGTGAAATATACAGTTTTGCGATCACATGAAATTATTTGACCGTTCAGTGCTGTGTTTGACCAAATAACCTTTCCAGAGATGACTATAACAATAAAAGTGCAGAAACAATAAACATAAAGACAACCTCACCAATTAAAGCACAGTCAGAACACAACTGCACATCTCCAAGAGCTCTTAATGGCAAGGTGAAGTGTTAAAATGCTGTTTAAATGCCAATAAAAGGCAGATATCTGGCTGAAATGGTCTTCAAAGATGTTGCATTTTCAATTCCGCGCAGACTGTATTTTGGTTATTCACCAGGCTTATATCTGCCTGATGCATTACTCTTGGGCTCCTAGCAAAAGGATTATCGTGTACTACAAGCCACTTTAATAAGCTTCAAGAGTCCAGAAGGATCTGCCAACAGTAAACGTGCCGTGCATCACAACTGCGTTCTGTCTCCCTCATGCCACTGCTGGGCGCAGATGCAAAGGCTGTGTGTTTCACCACTAAGGTGCATCCCTGGTGGATGAACTCTGATTCACTCCGCTTCTCTTTTCTGGAAATGCAATGCTCTGCCTGTTGCCCAGATTAATGTGGCATTCATTCTCTCATCAACATGCATAACCCACGCCTCCCCCCCTCGACCCCTGTCTTTCGCTGTTTCTCGCTCTCATCTTATTTCGCTTCATTTTTTTCTCCTTTCATTCTCAAATGAATGCATCTCTTCTCCCAGGAAACCATGATGCAAGGGAGGGCAAATGTGAATATATCATCACCCCAGAGCCACAAATTGCATGTTTGACATTCAGAACTGACACTTGGTTGAAAAATAATACTGTTTAGACATTGCTGTGTGGCAGTGTTTCTTTTTAACATAACATTGTAGTTTTGTCCTGTTTAGAGGGCATTTTAATTCATTCAGCAGACTCAAACTACATGCATACATACATAACATATTCTTACATCCATGGTGCAAATAAGTGTAAATCCCTATTTTAGCCCTTGAGCCACTCTGAAACAAGATGTGTAGGGCTCTTTAAATAATGGGAAGTTGCTCACATTGTTGATCTGAGTCTTATATGAATACAAATAAAGGAATCAAGATAATATAAACATATATTTGACCACCCCTATAACATTGTGAATGCATGATCATCCCTAGCAAGCTCGTTATACAGGAAAATATTCAGTTGGCAGTTTTAACACCACCCAGCAGACACACATTAGGCTAGATTTAGGTCACCAGTGTCTAAAGACAAAGTTTTTTTTTAATGTCCAATAACAATGTGAAATGACAACACTCTGAATCTCACGGCAATTTGTAACTTTTTGATTTAGTGGCTAATTCGTATGAATTTGTACGATCTGACTGGTGCAATTTAGTACAATTTTCTCATTCCCCAATGACGGTTGGATTTAGGGGTGAGGTTGATGCCCTCTTTTATAAAATTGAACAATTTCGTACAACTGAACTCCGAATTAGCCACTAAACTGACAAAACGTAAAATACTTACGTTTTCTCATGAGATGTTGATATTTGCTTGATTTTAGGTGTTGGTAAGTGACCAATGTCCAACTTCGAGCCAACAACTTCAACGTCATATTGACGTCAAATACTGACAAATATTTGTCATATGGGAACTAAAATCCAATGTCTGATAGACGTCATATTGGTAATGTCCACACAACGTCAAACTGTAACGTCATTAGACGTTGACATTTTGTTGTTTGTTGCATTGGAAAGTAACAGCCATATCACCCTGCAGCTCAAGACCGGTTACTCAATAAAGCTATACTGTCAGTGGGTGACTTCTTTCAGATGAGACATTAAACCGAGGTCCTGACTCTTTGTGGTCATTAAAAATCCAATGGCACTTCTCGTAAAGAGTAGAAGTGTAACCCCTTTTAAGACTTCCCAATGCTCCACATTCACCGAATTGGCTGTTGGTGCGTGCACAGGCGCCGTTGTGTTGTGGCTGCCGACGCATCTTCCAAGTGGATGATGCACACTGGTGGTGGTGTGGAGAGATCTCCTGATAATTGTGAAGTGCTTTAGTTTTTTGGCCATACACAATAAATGCGCTATGTAAATACACAAATAACAATTACAAGATTACAAGTAACCAAAATGCAACATCTGTTCGAAATAGATGTTTTATCTACATATAGCCTAAAAGTATAGTAAAATTAGATTCAGGTGTATTTAAATAGATGCCTATGCTTGCACATGAAACTTAAAGTCAGCATTAAACCAAAGTTTTTCGTTTTTTCCCCATTTCATGAGGTATATTCAGTTGGATTCAAAAAAAGTAGGGCGGTGCATGATTTCATCTTTTAGGTATGATTGGAGTGAAAGAAGGGCACGAAAATGAAGGAAGATTGATGAATGGACAAAAGCAGGGCAAGGTAGATTTTGGTATTTGATTAAAGATTATGAGGGCATATGAATTTTTTTAAATAATAAAGTGTACAGATGCATTGTTCATAGCAAAAACTACTGTATGTCTATAGCAAGTAAGAGTACATTTTATTTCATGTCAGCCTTTAAACAGTTAGCACAACTTTTTATGATAATTTATTTATTAATGCGAGAATGAAACTTTTCTTCGTTTGTCAAAATTAGCCTTAAAAGGGGATCTTTGAGAATCCCATGTCTGTTAAAATAACCCATCACAGGTTACAGTATAGGTCATATCACTAAAGTATGCAAATTTATTACACAAATTACTGAAAAAAGCTGAGCCCCCTGCCCCATCTCAACCACTCTCCACCCCAATAGTTAAAGTATAATTCAGACACTGCTTACATCCACTGCTGATAAGCCACTCTGTACCTAATGGCTTTGAACCCTACATGATACATCATATCAAAATCACATAGGAATAGAAAGCCATAAAGCACAGTAGTGTTTTGAGTTGCTTTAGACTGCACTTGTGTGAAACCACCATGAGACTTGCTGCATTTCCGTTCTTTTTATATGTGACTGTCTTTTTTTGCAGCTAAACAGCTTCTGTTTAAACCACTTGAGCCAAGTTGCAGTCTGCACCGAAGATTAAAGAGAAAAAACTCACATCATCATGAATAATTAAACAAAAGGCAGACTATTATTCAGTTTTTCTGGCCTGGGAGGATTAACATGTTTGTAGCTCATTGTTCTTTTAAGTTACTCCTTGGGGGGAATTCTGGGATTTTCTCTTGATTTATGTATGGGTTTACACTTTAATTCTAGCACTAAACCTTCTACGAGTTCCTCGCCCCAATTCAGAAGTGAGATTTTCGTCCGTCATTCTCTAAGAACTTTCCAAACAGTCTTTGATGAGGCGCTGTAACGCTGCCAAGAAATAAAAAGGTACAGCACTAATCAAAAGGCTTTTGTGATTTCCGCAGCGGCCCTGGTGAATGCTGAGGGGATTATGTAAACATTCAATTTACAATTAGACTCCAGAAGTCTAGCTGACTTTCTGTCTCTGACAAAAGACTTTTTTTGCATCACAGCTCAAGGGAGTTTAGCGGATCTGATTAATGAACACAATCTACGCGCCAACAGTTAAGCAAACTTGCCGTTCAGACCCTATAATGAAGTGCCTGATGAAAATGGCACATAATAATCAGATTTTTGTTTTGATGTTTGTGCAAGGTGCTGTGATTTATTCACGCAGCAAATGTTTGTGGACTTTTTAGATGATTTTAATGTCAGCGTCTTCCCATATTAATTTTTATGAATTTTAAATGATCATTAAATCACGGAACTGAAAACTTTGGCTAAGCGATAGAATGTGCATTAGTTAAAGTGCAGTTTTATAGTCACTCTTTCTGCCATTTACATAGTGAAAAGTGATTGTCTGTAAAAAAAAAAAAAAAAAAACTCTTCATTGAATCATTCAGATAAAAAAAATGCAGATTCATTGAGAAACAGAATAAATGATCCTTCATCGGGCAACACGGTGGCTCAGTGGTTAGCACTGTTGCCTCACAGCAAGAACCTCTCTGGTTTGAGTCCCAGCTGGGTCAGTTGGCATCTGTGTGTGGAGTTTGCATGTTCTCCTCATGTAGGTTTTATTCAGGTGCTCTGGTTTCCCCCACGGTCCAAAGACATGCGCTATAGGTGAATTGAATAAACTAAACTGGCTATAATGTATGTGTGTGAATGAGTGTGCATGGATGCCGTGTAAAACATGATAGATAAGTAGGCGGTTCATTCCTCTGTGGCGACCCCTAATAAAGGACCTAAGCCGAAGGAAAATAAATTAATGAATGATTCTTCATGAGTGAGAACAGAATCAGATTTGTTCAATGAATCAATTCTTCGGTGAAGAAAAAATGTAACTTACGAATAAAAAAGTGGCTCCTATGAGTGAATCATAGAATAGCTCATTTAACATATTTGTTCAAAAACACAGATTCGTCCACAAACAGAACCAGTGAATCTTTATGAATAAGAATTTCTAGAATCACTCAAAATTGATAGTTAAAAAAACACGGATTCATTTATTAATGAAACAAGTGACTAATTATTTCACTAATTCTTTAAAAAAACACAAGTTCATTTACAAACAGAACAATTTTCAGAATATTCTATTTATGTGTGAAAATTTACTAAATTGCTCAGTAAACGAATTATTTCAAAAATACAGATTCATTTGTAACAAGTGGCTTTTTGTGAGTCATTTAATAAATTTATTATGTTAAAAACAAACTGAATCTGTAAAAAGGAACTAAATAAGTGAAACTAAGAATACATAAAGATCCTTTAAACTTATATGTCCTTAAGCTTGATAATGCATGATTTGCAGATAAACTAAAATGAAGCAAAATATATGGTCTTAAAATCAATAGGTGTCATTATTTTTCTTATTCCTCAATTGTCTAATCATATTCTCTTTTTATTATTATCTTATTCTTATTTTTTATTCGCTTTTACTGTCTTGTTCCATTTTTTTATTTATGTCTTGTGAGCGGCATGGTGGCTCAGTGGTTAGCACTGTCGCCTCACAGCAAGAAGGACACTAGTTTGAGTCCCAGCTGAGCCAGTTGGCAATTCTGTATGAATTTGCATGTTCTCCGTGTCTACATGGTTTCCTCCTGGTGCTCCAGTTTCTTCCAGTCTAAAGATGTGCGGTATAGGTAAATTGAATAAACTAAGTGTTTCCCAGTGTTGGGTTTAGGCTGGAAGGACATCTGCTGCACATACATATGCTGGATAAGTTGGCGATTTATTCCACTTGGAAATAGAGACTAAGCCGAAGGAAAATGAATAATTGTCTCTATTGTTTTTGTACTTATACTCTGGAAGCTCCAAGACAAATTCTTTGTGTGCTCAAGCACATTTGGCTCTTTCTGATTCTGAATATCTGCAACAATTAGGCATGTTACAAACATTAAATATGCAAAGACTTTGGCACACCAATATGGAGATGAAAGCGATCGTACTGTCGGAACATCTATTTGTTGAGAATATTACAGCTGGTTATTTTCTGTGAGCCTCCTCCTCTGTGTTCACACACAGTCTGACAAGATTGTCAGTTTTGACGTTTGGCTCTCTTTTTTTCAGGCAATTGGCTGTATCTACCCATTCATCCTCATAAATATCAAGCACAGAGCCGATTATGGAATGTGTGTGTGTGTGTGTTCACATGTCATCAATCCTGTTGTTTATCAGAGCTGATTAATATTTGATTAACATTTATATTCATGGTGTAATGTACTCTGACAACACATTGGTAAGAATGGGAAAAAGACACTACCTGTGTGTCACGACAACACATCACAAAAAATATTCACATATACCTCGTTATCTGAGAGAACGTGTTTCAGTTCAGAGATTACACTTGACATAAAAATCATTGACTGGATGTGATCAACATGTCTCTCCAAAATAGGCTGGAACACACTGCTAATTGGAGGAATATAGCGAAAGGTTTGAGCTAAAGTAATTGCTGCTTGTTATTTTCATGTATTCTGTGAAAAAAAAAACTCATGAAAATAAAGGTTTAAAATAGAACTAAAGATTCCTAAAATCCTTCTGTCTATGCCTAGTAATACAAAGCATTTAAAAATCCAGAGAATTCAATAACTACCTTATGTAAAATTAAAAAGTTAAATAAATGTAGAAGGACCCATCAATGGTGTATTAGCCTATATATGCAGCAACGTCTGCTTGATGTTTAATGACATGGGGGAAGTGGAAATATATAAACCAGAGATTTGACTTAGCTCAACTATATAGAAAATGAATTGACTTTGGCTTGTGGCAAATGACTTTCTTAAACTTGAATTGCTTGACTTCCCAGTGACCTGCAGAAAAAATGTAATTAAATTAGTAATTTCTTCATTTAATCACTTTGATATCAGTGAATAATTAATGGAATGCAATCAGGGTTTTTGCAAGTGAGTGACGCTGCGCAATCCCGGTAAATGTAAACTTCATCAGCGCGCCAAATACAGAAAGGTGGAAGGGAATCTCAATATGATCGATTGTTTTAGATATACACACATCGAAATTGAGCACATTCATGATCACCATAGACTATACAAAATTAGTTAAAAAACAATATCAGGCACGACCATAACATCGGCCTTTCTCTACTTCACTTTCTCCACTGCAAACATAGATAACTTCTTTTGACTGGTAGCTTCATGGTATAGAATTTGAGACTTGAATGTGACTTATTTATAACTTGCTTCTGCTTTCTATATAAATATAGTTATGCAAAATACCATAGAAAAATTATGAGTTTTGAAACATTTGAATTAATTAATATTTTTTTACTTACCCAACTAACTTAAAAACAAATTCCAAATATTAATTAATATAATGTTATAAATAATACTTAATGGACACCATATTTTTTTGTCCATATTTAATGTTAATTTATAATAAAATAATACTAAAGAAATAAAAAAATCCTAGGTAGTTTTAACCCTAATTTGTTGTAAAATATGCATACATTTTCGAATGGGTTTGAAACATAAACAAAAATTTGCAGCTAGAAGAACATATGCTGGATAAATTGGCGGTTCATTCCTCTGTGGCGACCCCAGATTAATAAAGGGACTTAGCCGAAAAGAAAATGAATGAATGAATAAAAACAAATGCAAATGTTCATATGAATACCAATATAGTGTAGTATTGTTTAGATTTTTATTTTAATCCAAATTTGTGTAAAATATGGACCAACCCAATGGTTAGGTTAAAGATGTTGAGTTAGTTCAGATTTTACACAAATTTGGGTTAAAACAGCCCAGCATGAGTGTGTGCATCTCTTCGGTGCAAATGTTAAAAAAGCAATTAAGATTAGAAATAAGGGTATCAAGGCTAGCTGAAAACCTGAAAAGTCTTCGTTCTGATTCATTAAGGTAGTGCAGGTCTTTAAAGCTGTCACACACTCCACACCTTCACTGAAATAAGCAGCAGTGTGTATATCTGTGAAGCTCATTAAGTCTCTGGCATTCAAGACTGTCTCGCCCCCTTTCTGATGCTTATTCAAGGACACTAATAATAACTAATAGCAACAGTAATGACTGCAGTACATCACGCTATCATTTTTACATGTAGGTGCCAGCTTTAATCAAGCAGCAAACACAGCCAATTAAAATGTTGTCAAAGAATAACTTGTGTGGCAGAAATATAAAATCTGCTTATAAATGTTATCTGAAATGCTTTACAATTTAGCCTCAGGAAAAGTATAAGGAAAGCTTTGTGTCTTACTCCGGCCAGTGAGAGACAATGATGAGTTAAATGAGGTGATTCAGGTTTATGCATTAGACATAACTCTAATTACTCACATTATCACAGATGCATGCACTAATGATCGTTGTGCCGAGCCAGCGCAACTCTGCAAAACAGTTCATTTAGAAGCTCTTACGAAAGCTCTGATTGGCTGTTAACTCTGACTCACTGCCAAACCACTATAGAAGTCACATCCCGTGA